TTGCCTTCAAGACCTATTCAGGCCTGATCATATATATATATTCCTTCCCACAGCAGGAAACAATTATCTTCACATCCTTTGCCCACTTGGAGTGATCTATCTACATACTTTCCCAGATATCTTTCTCACCAATTTTCCAGTCAGGCTCTTTCCAGGTCCTGACCATCCAGCCAATCCATTGGCTACAGCCCATGAGTCAGTGAAAAATCACACATTTGGTCATTTTTTCCTTTCAAAAAAACTGTACAACCTTGCGTACTACCAAAAGTTCTGCCCACTGTGAAAAATTCTCTTCACCTGTGTCTCTCAGAGTTGTTCCAGAAAGGATATATATCACTTCCATCTGATAAAACATTGCTGCTGTGCATGTCCTACTTTATGACTTGATAACACATAGTTCATGTCACATGGTAATTTGGTGGTTCATTGTCAAACATTCAGTTTCCACTAAGGTCCAATAGGTGGCCAAGAGCTGTCTTTTTTTTTTTTTTTTTAACATATATCGATTCATGTGGATTTCACATCAAGAATTCCAATCCCACTTATCTTTCTGTCCCCATACATCTGCCATCTGCCCTTTCAACTTCCCCACCCCAAACAAAACCAAATTTAAAAGAAAAACCAAAAAGAAAACAAAAACAAAAACAAAGAAACAGCACAAAACAAAACAAAAACCCAACAACTTACAAACAAACAAACAAAAAGAAGAATCCTGTCATGGAAGCTGAATTGTTGCCCTTTGAGACACAGTTTACCATTTAGTCTGTTCATCTTTACTTGCAAGTTTTCATTACCATGAATCATTTGTCTGGCCAGAGGCCTCTGGTCTCTGTTACCCCACTAATAATGGGCTCTCACTGGGGTTCCTCTTTGATATCCTGTTGTCCTGTGTCGTGGAGATACTGATGTTTTGGATCTGTAGGTTTGTCCCTTTCACATGCTCCAACCGTTCATAGATTTGGTGGATATTGGGGTGGACCAACTCATAGCCCTGGTTCTGCGCCTAGGTTGGTCAGCTTGCCAGCTTTCCCTCATCATCACTACCTAGATGAGCTCTCCAGCAGTGCCTCAGCCAGCCCACCCAGTGCAGCCTACAAGGGCCAGTTCTGCTCTTGGGCCCCCAGATACTGGTCCCCATCACTCAAAATGCCATGGCCAGCTCTACTGTTTGCCCAGGCAAGCTGAACGGCTGTTTCCCAATTGCTGTAGGAAGCACATGAGGAGAGGCAGGGTAAAGTCTCCTGCTCTCACTCCCTCAGAGCTGGCTCAGATGTGACCATGAAAACAGAGTTAGCTCTAATATGCTGCCCAGGTGGGGTTCAGGGCCCACTCTTTTGTATGCTGTAGCTGATATAAGGCATGGCTAGTTCTCTCACTCTCTTGGCCCAGAGGCCGCAAGAGATGTCTTTGAGAGCAAGAATCGTTGGCTGCAGATGATGGTAGAGCCTTGTTCCCAAATCCCAATGGTCTATTCCTTGGAGATTCACTTATATCAGCCTCCCAAAGGCTCCAAACAGCTTATGTTTCTGCCTCTGACACCTCAATTACATTTGGGTCAGCTGGATCATATGGTCCATGTGGTAGAGCAGCCTTCACGCAACCTGGATCTGTTGAAGAACATTCTCCTGTTCCAGGCCCCACACAAAGGTAGCAGATTTCCTACTCACTTGGTATATGGGCCAAAGGAACACATCCAAGTGAGGAATGTGCTGTGTCCAAATCCTAACAGGCCCACTAAAGGTTGAGCTTCTTTCTTGGTGGTGTGAAGAGCCAGGGACAATAACTTATCTTTCACCTTAGAAGGAATATTTCAGCATGCGCCACACCACTGAACTCCTAAGAGTTTCACTGGGGCAGAGGCCTTTGAATTTTGGTTGGATTCATTTTCCATATTCTGTTGCACACATGTGTTTGCAGTGGGTTCAAAGTGGTTGCTCCTTCCTGCTCACTTGGTCCAATCAGCATAATGTCGTTAATATAGTGTACTTGTGTGAAATTTTGTGAAAGAGACAGATATTGAGATTCCTTCAAAGTTATAACAAAGGGCTGGTGGGTTAACACATCCTTGAGCTTTTTTGCAGGACTGAATGTATCACCTCCCCTTAGAGCAGCATCTCTCAACCCTTATGTCATGATCCCTTTGGGATCTCATGTCAGGTATCCTACATATGAGATACTTATATTACAATTCATAACAGTAGCAAAATTACCACTATGAAATAACAAAATAATAATTTCATGGATTGGGGGTCACCACAACATGAGGAACTCTATTAAAGGGTTGCAACTTCAGGAAGCTCGAGAATCACTGCCTTAGAGCATCCTGTTCCTTTATCTTACTTTTCATGCCCTATGTTTAAAGGAGATGCCTCAAAGATGGAAGGATTTAATCTCAGAGGAGACTGATACACTATAACTATTCTTGGGCATGAACTTCAAAGACTTGCCATTTTATCAATGAGCATTTGCCCATCAAGTTCATTGATGCTTTATTCACTGTATCTAGGAAATGGAATCAACCTGGATGTACATGAACTGAAACATGGGTAAATGAAAACATGATACTTATCTATATAGACCAGCATATTATTCAGGAGTTAAAAAAAATAAGCATGAAATCTAGACATACAGTAGGTAACCTGAAATTATGATTTCAGATACCTCGGCTCCAAAAGTCAAACATCACATGTTCTTACACATATGTGTGTCTAAGCTACAAACTGTTTTGTGTGTTCAAGTAAGACTACATGTAGAACCTAGGAATCTAGAACTAGACCATGAGTGGGGAGATGGAGTAAGAGAAGATATGTAGTAAAATATAAGTGATATGAAATTAGAGAGTGGGAATCCTGGGGGCAGAATGGTTCAAATATGTAGTGGAGAGTGGGCTGTGAACTGAAACGAGGTCTGTGAAGAAGGTACATGGGAACCTATCATTTGTAACCCCAGTAAAAAATACAAGGAGAGGATGGTAGAACACGTGTTATAAAAGAATGGGGCATTGGATGATGTGTGCTAAATCTCTAACTGGGGATGGGGCAGGGAGAAGGGATGAAGCATAGACGGTTCAACCAAAAGTAAAGATTTGTGAAGAAGCCTTATGAAATCCCCCTTACAAATTAATAGTAAACATGATTTTAAAACCTTTGAACACAGGTGTCCTACATGGGTGAATAATGCTGCTTCCAGTCACCAGGTCTATTTAATGAAACTCTCTGTACCATGTACTGGTTATCTGTCTAGGACTTATTGGTCAGGGAAGTTCCATTGTCACCCTAAACCAAACAGGTCATTCCCAGTGCTCTTGCTTGGCCACAAGTATATGGTGTAGCTAAAGACATCAAATACTTTGCTTGCAAGATAGAGAAAGAACAGTATTGAACTTACCAGGCAACTCTCCCTCATGATCAGTTTTTGTACATTGGAAAGTCCTGTGAAGGCTGTTGGCAGAGAAATGATGTCAACGGTTGTACTTACCCTAGGCCATGCATCTTACAATACCAACCTACTAGCCATGATGTGTTCAATGATGCAAAACTGGCACCACTGTTCATGGACATAAATAAACTCTCTTGATTGGGTTTCAAGCCTGCACCAGAGAGGAATTCATGCCATGGTTTAAAAAAAAAAAAATACATGACAACTATAGGTTGTAGGGCAGAACCTATTGATGTTTTGATAATGATCGTAAGTGTTAATCGGCCATCTAAATATTCATGTTTAAAATGATCACTTTGTACTACTCTCAATGTTGGTGAAAGGAGTCTCCTTTTGCAGTAGGTAAATGTAGTTGGTAATGCATTCTCATAACTGTTCAAAAACTACTAAGAACAAGCAACTGTGTAATACTGGTACAATTACCATTTCATCATGGTGGAGGGTGGGTCCTACAAGTCTCATTTACCTCAGTGAAGGTGTACTGGAAGTTAATGGAAGCTGTATCATTTTACTATAGAGTTTCAAGTAAATTCTTCCCAAGTTTTCTTAAGGACTTCAAAATGAATTCCTGCATACTCTCAGAGCTTTTTCTTTTTCTTATTGTTTTGGATTTTCCAGATAGGGTTTCCCTCTGTATCCCTGGATGACTTGGAATTTGCAATGTCAACAATGCTGGCCTATAACTCACAGGGGTACACCTTCCTCTGCCTCTAGAGAGCTGGGATTAGTGTGTGTCACCACATCCTCAGCCTTTGGGGATTTCTAAGTTGGATGTCAGCATTCCAGTGATGTCACAGTCACAGCCTATCTCTTCACAGTCAGTTACTTTCTTGCTATTTGTATGGTTTGACTCTAACATGAAGACTTTGAAGGTGAATAAAAGAATTCATCAGAGTGTTTTCTTTAATGATGAATTTTCTTTTATCTCTGCAATTTCAGCACTATATAAAGGGTTTATCAAATTCAATGCATTTAGGGAGGTGCAATTTCCAATGGACAGAAAGACATGTGGAGTATATACTCGCTACCTTTATATGTTTTCTCAGAAGTATGAATTTTGTGATATATAGCACAATTGGAGGGAAAACTAAAGGTTTTGTCATATTTCTTGTTACTTTGTTTTTTTTTTTTTTTTTTTTTTTTGACAAAGGGTTTATTTAGTCCTGGCTGTACTGGAACTCAGTATTTAGATGATTATGTCCTCAGACTCACAGAGATTTTGCCTCTGCACCCTGAGTGCTGGGAATAAAGGAGTGCATCACCACACCTAGCATGATTATGAATTTTTGATGTTGAACAAGAAAATGTTTTCATTACATTTTTAACCAGGGACTGGAGACATGGCTTAGTGGATAAAAGCACTGGTTGCTCTTCCAGAAGACCAGTGTTCAATTCCAAACACATGCACAGCAGTTCACAATGGTCTATAATTACACATTCAGGGGATCTGATGACCCCTTCTGCCCTCCGCCTATACCAGGCATACATGTAGTGCACAGGCATACTTGCAGGCAAAGCATACATATACATTAAAAAATTAAAAAAAAAAGCTTTTCCCACTGTTACATTTGCAGAATTTTATTTTAATATAAACTAGGATATTTTTTAAAATGTAAACCTTCATTAAAGAGTTTCACAAGTTTCTTATCTTTATGTTTCTATTTTGTATACTGTTGTGATTTGTAAGCAGAGACTATTGGAAAATGCTATGTCACATTATTCAAACCATGTTTCTCCCCAGTATAAATTTTCAAATATCTTCTAAATTTGGAACTCTGAATAAAGGATGTGTCAGTCTTTGCTTTTCTATGGTTTCTCTCCATGATGGATTTTCTGATGTCTCCTTAAACCACAAGATTGGATAAAGGATTTGTCACATTCCTGACAGCTGTAAGGTCTCTCTCCAGTGTGAACTCTCTGGTGTTTTCTAAGATTAAAGTCCTGGGTAAAGAACTTGTTGCATTCCATACATTTGTAAGGTTTCTCCCCAGAATGAACTCTCTGATGTCTTCTAAGATCTGTGCAACTGATAAAGGATTTGTCACATTCCTTACATCTGTAAGGTCTTTCTCCAGTATGAACTCTCTGATGTCTTCTAAGACTAACAATATGGATAAAGGATATGTCACAGTCTTTACATTTGTGAAGTTTCTCTCCAGTATGAATTTTCTGATGTGCTCTAAGATATGAGCAGCTAGTATAAGACTTGTCACATTCCTTACATTTGTAAAGTTTCTCTCCAGTGTGAACACTCTGGTGTCTTTTAAGTTGTGAGCAACTGGTAAAGGATTTGTCACATTCCTTACAACTGTAAGGTCTCTCTCCAGTATGAATTCTCTGATGTATTCTAAGACTTGCAATATGGATATAGGACATGTCACAGTCTTTGCATTTGTGAAGTTTCTCTCCAGTATGGATTTTCTGATGTGTCCTTAAACCAGAAGAGTGGGCAAAAGATTTGTCACATTCCTGACAACTGTAAGGTCTCTCTCCAGTATGAACTCTCTGATGTTTTCTAAGATTTGAATAATGGGTAAAGGACTTATCACATTCCATACATTTGTAAGGTTTCTCCCCAGTATGGATTTTCTGATGTCTTCTAAGGGTTGAGTTCAAGGTAAAGGACTTGTCACATACCTCACATTTATAAGGTTTGTCACCAGCATGGATTCTGTAATGCCTGTTAAGATGTGATAATTCAAGGAAGGACTTACCACAGTCTTTGCATTTGTGAAACTTCTCTAGAGAATGAATTTTCCTATGCCTGCTCAGTGATGAATAGTGGGTAAAGGCTCTGTCACAGTCACTGCACTTGTAAAGCTTTTCTCCAGTACGGAGTCTGTAATGGCTTCTAAAGTGTGAAAGCTGATGAAAGGCCTTGCCACATTCTTGACAACTATAATGTCTCCCAGCAGTATGCATTTTCTGGTGTCTCTTGAGAGTGGACCAGTGGGCAAAGGATTTGTCACATTCCTTACATTTGTAAGGTTTCTCTCCAGTATGCAATTTTTGATGGTTATTAAATCCTGACAACTGACGAAATGACTTTCCACATTCTTTGCATTTGTAAGGTTTCTCCCCAGTATGAAGTCTTTGATGTATTTTAAGAGTTGAACGCTGGGTAAAAGATTTTTCACAAACATTGCACTTGTAGGGTCTCTTTCCACTGTGTATTCTCTGATGTACACTGAGGTTTGAGGCAGTACTGAAGCATTTCCCACACATCCCACACTGGTGTGGTGTCTCTCCAATGTAGATTGGTTGTTGCAAAAGACTGTAAGCAGAGCTGAAATAGTCATGATATTCTCGCTGCCTATGCTCTTTCTTTGTAGTGTAGAGTCTCTGATCTTGAATAATGTTGGAACACAAATTTAACGTTTTCTCACTGTCTTTAGATTTACACAGTTCTTCTCCAGTGTGCATGCTTTCATGTCTATCTGGATTTGATGAGTCAATAGAGGCATCGCTGTGGTTACTGCATGTGTAGTTATTAGAGTTTTCTGTAGTTTCACTTGTTCTATAAAGTGCACATGTGCAGGGGTCATGAAGCACTTGGCCAAGCTCATTACACTGACAAGACTCCTTTTCAGTCTTCACATGTTGACGGACAGGATCACATTTGCAACAGTTCTCTGAAAATTAGTATAATTCAGATTAATAGGGCTTGTTCCAATAATAAACACATGATAAATGACTATCTCCCTAAGTTCTCCTTTAAGATAAATACCTGGAACTATTTGGATTAGAGCTCCCAGAAATGGGTATTTTTCACTCATGGTAATTGTATGGATTCTCACAAGAACAGCATGACAGCCTTCAAAGGTCAGTGATTTATAATAGATATCTCATCTTTATCAGAAATCTCTAACTGGGAAAAAGATAAAAAAAATAACTGAAGGTCATTAATTAGCTTTGGTATAGAGCTCACTGACTAATTATATTTAGAATACATGTCACTATCTTAAATAATTCTTCTCAGAAATTGATGGAGTTTAATCCAATCTGAGGTTCACAGTATTTTTACTTACTAAGTGATAGGCAATAAAGAGTACTTTTCAGAAGACTCAATCCCTTAAAAGATTAAAGTCTTACTTAAAAGCATCAAAGAGTTTAGTTTTCTCACTAGGAAAGCACATTAGATTCTTTAAAAGTAATGGATGCAAAGACAGAATTCTGCCAGGCATCAGAAGCTCTAGACCATTTGAGGCAGGGCTGTCATGGGCAGCTATTGCTTATTTCTAACCTCCACACACTGTTGTGTTTCTTAACTTTCCTCATGGTAATTCTCAAATCTACTCCGTACACTGACTCCTAAGATTATTTTCCGAAGGGTGTCTGTGTATTCTCCACTGGGAGGAAAATGAAGGATGTAGTAAGAAGATAGGCACACAAGGAAGGCAATTACAGAACAATCCTACTTTATGGACTCACATTAGACTTAAAATGTAAAATTATTCCAATCTGTTATAAGCATAGTCAAATAAAACTGCATTTTGTACTACTATTACGTCAGCATAATTCACACCACCTTCTAACAGTTATTACAACAGACAGGATGCATCCTGGGGCCAGGACACTACACTAAGTTAAGTGACCAGGAGTCCTTTTAAGTGCAACTGAATATGACAAAACCATTCTCAGCTCTTGCTTTCTCTTTCACTCAATCCCTTCACTGTTCTCCTGTTCATTCACTAACCTACCCTACTTGTGGCTACTCTCTCCTCTCCACATTCCAGGGCAATCTCATTCTTTCTGGACAGGTGATCACACCAACCTTGCATACAATAATCCACATGTTCTTTGAGGCAGCCCATGACCCATGCTAGAACTTTTAGAAAGATTACACAAGTGTAAGACAGTACTGCACTCGGTACAGGAAAACAGAAAGCAGAGGAATTTAGGCAAGATTTCTCGATTGATATTTCTTCTCAAATTCTTCAGTATATTTAGTATTTTCAGTTTGTATATCTTGAATTTTTTCACAATTAAAACCAGTCAATTGCAATAATGGACATAGAGCTTTAAGATATGAGTAGAAATATTATATGCTACTGGGTTTATGAACTCTTGGAACCAAAATGAAGGGTGGATGATACCTCAAATTAGAAAATGGAAAAAGAAAACTAAATAGCATGGAAAAGTTCTTTCCTACTACTACACTTTGCCTTGTCTCCTGTTGGTTTTTTCAGGACAGCTTAACAGATTTTACACCCTGTAAAGGTAGAATAAAAAAAAAAGATGGGTTAGGAATTCTACAAGCAAAATGTTCTCACCCACAAAGACCAGGTTGTTGTAATTCTCCAACATCACATCAATGTACAAAGCCCTCTGAGCAGAATCCAGGCATTCCCACTCCTCCTGGTGGAAGTCCACAGCTACATCCCTGAATGTCAACAGACTCTGAAACAAAAAAGTATGGTTTGATCATGTGCTACCTGGAAGTGCTTTCCCAGATATAAGGAGATGGAATGTAGATGAGCGAAGATAATTACTCAAAGAGAAGATTTTCAATACAGTGACATTCTATCATGAATGTTCTAACTCTGTGAAAACAGGATGAAACAACAGTCTTACAAGCAGTATACATGAAACAAGAAATACATTTAAGGTCTGGACATGCTTGTCTATCTGTTATGGATTCTGTGTTTATGTTACACAGGATCACAGCAGACATGTCTCAGAAGGAAAATTCATTATGAGGAAATGTGCTTTAAATGCTGTACCTGCACATCATGCTAAAACACTAACACAATTCAATCCTTTGTGTACTTGGGCCTTACATGACTATTCTAACAGACTCAGTTGGGATATTTAAATTCTAGGTCCAATGTCACACCATTAGATAGCAAAGGGGTAGGTATGGAAGGCAGAATTCATGACTAATTTTGCAGACAAAGAGTTCTGATTTTTTTCCACAGTAGCAAGGATTGTAGCAGCACTACATACTGTCAATTTTAACATTAACATGTAAGATAAGTGTTCTATGGAATTAATTTCATGAGCATGCTTGGGCCACTACAAACAGAGAGAAAAATCTGCAGCAGCCATATTGGATATAATCCAAAATCTCCCTAAGAATATGCATAAGCCAACAGAGTTTTGAAGAATATTTCACTTTACTCCCAAAGAGTAATAAAAATTGAGGGAAGTCTAAAAACACATCAAATAATGTTTACAGTATAGCTAAGAAAATCTGTACCAGTGACACTTTGGATAAAGCTCACAGCAAGAATTTACCAAAAATTAAATTAACTAAATACCGAGGAAATAAAACTACAAATCAACAAATGGGCATATGAAATAAATAGACACTTTTCAAAGACAGAAACTCAAAAGGCCAATAAATATTGCAAAAGACTCCAGGATCCCCAAAAGACCAACCACTGAAATGGAAATTAAAACTTCTTAGAAATACTGCCTCACCCCAGGCAGAATGGCTGTTATCAACTAACCTGACAACAAATGTTTGAGGAGATATGGAGAGAAAGGCAGCCTTATTCACTGTTGATGGATGGAAGGACTAATTAATACAGTCATGTGGGAAATGGAGATTATTGAAAAAATTGAAAAGAGTACTAACATATGACCCACTGCTTTAACTCCAGGCCATATACCCAGAGAACAACACACCCCACTATAAAGATATTCATACCCCATGTTATTGCTGTTTTAATCACAAAAGGAAAAGTATTGGAATCAAACTAATTATCAAGAGATGAATTGACAATGGAAATTGTATAAAATGGAGTATAATTCAGCTGAAGAGAAAAATAAAATGAAAATGTGCAGGAAAGTGGATGGACCCAAAATGTGTAATATTAAGCGGTCATATACTTTTAGAAAGAAGATACCATGTTTTCACTCATATGCAGAATCTACCCAGTAATAATATGTGTATAGAAGCAATGATAGGTCAGCACAGTATAACATGGAAAAAAGAGAACAGGAAAGTTTAAATTATCAGGGACTGATGCAGGTAATGAACACTAGTTACGAAAAAGGATATACAGCTAAGTGCTTTTCTAGTTTTAATTCTGCCAAAGGTGTTTGGGGTTCTGGTAGTGAAGTAAATCAAAATATATTCGACTGTGAAAATATAAAATCACATGTGAGGCTCTAGAGCTTCTGTTCCCAATGACAACTCTAACTGTATATAAGTACATTGACTTGTACAGTCTTTGGGCATACTTAATTTCAGTGAGTGATTTTATTGTTTGTATTTTTGTAGAATTGTTCATAATAAAATCTTAAAAAATCATCAGAAGCAGAAAATTAAAGGCTTTTAATACATGAAAGTAAAACATATTTAGATAAAGAATGGAAAGGACCACTGACCTGTGACATGTTTACTGGAGAATCAACCATTTCTTACTGTTTCTCTTCTTTGAGTTTCTCTTTCAGGAACAATGAATACATGGTTGCTTCTCTTTCAAATTAATGGGTCAAAAAGCAAGAGTTAAAATTAATACTGAAAGTTGTTAGAAAACAATGTCAAACCACATGAAAAATTCCAAGCAACAGAAATCTACCAGGTGTCTAGTCAATGATCCCAAAGCCAGGAGAGCATGGAAAGACACTTGAAACTCAAAGTGATAACCATCACCAACCATACTGTTGCACAAAGAAAACTACACTCTTAAAATTGATGGAGACATAAGTGCATTTCAAGATAGTCACAAATTAACACAATTGATTGCACTAAAGCAACACTGTAGATAATAGCAAAGGTTTGAAAAGGGCTTTTCCATCATTTGGCAACAAGCCAAGGAAACTGTAAAAAAAAAAAAGTCCTACTTTTTTCTTCTATAACCAAAGTCGTTTCATTTTGCAGAATCTGAAAGATTAAAATATGTACACCATAGCATTGACACCTACTCAGGATTTCAATGGGCAACTCCTATGAGTTCTGAAAAGGCTGATTCTGGACTACATACCTATTAGACATTATGGCCATCATGGGAATACCTGTACAAATTAAGTCTGACAATGCTCCAGCATATGTCTCCAATAAAATGAGACAGTTTTTTGCTTATTACAATATAAAGTATGTTACAAGTATACCAACAATCCCATAGGCCAAGCAGTCATAGAAAGATCCAACCAAACTTTAAAGGATATGCTAAATAAACAGAAAGAGGTAACAATGACCCCTAGAAATAGATTACATAATGCTTTATTAACCTTGAATTTCTCAATGCTGATGAGAAAAGGACAACAGCTGTGGAGAGACATTGGACAACAGAAAAAAACTCCTGAGCTAAACCAAATTGTTTACTTCAAAGATGTGTTGACCCTGGAATAGAAAGCAGGATACTTCCTACATTGGGGAAGGGCTTTTGCTTTTTTTTCTACAGGAGAAGAAAAGCTATGGATACCAACAAAATTAATAAAAATTTGATCTGAACAGGAGAAACCCCTTGATGAGGAGTAGTGACAGCTCATCCACTGATGTGACAACTCTACAAGTTGTAAGAAAAACTCAACAAACAAGGGTTGGGGCAGGGTTCTATTTTTGTCTTTACAGGATAATAGGAATACCCATCTTCAAGAAATCATAAGGCCTTGGACACCTAGATGTCTACCACACAAAGGAAGGACCTATTGGTACCAATATACTCTACAGGGATATATCTCAGTCTAACATCAATATCTCTTTAATGTTAGAAAAGTTCTTGTACCGATTCGATTATAAATCAAGCTGGCTTTGGAGTTGGAATGTGGCTCTCTCCTTCTCTAAACCCAAACTTGTTGCTACAAGAAAAAATTGGAAGATTCTGTCTCATATCAGAAAAGCCAACTGGTGTGGGATAGAAGAAAATCAATAATCTAGGGATCACTGTTGTCAAGATTCTATTTCTTTCCATGCTTATCCTTGATTTCTGGAAATTCTTCATCAAATAACCCTAAATCCAAACTTTCCATTTTGATATTAATAATGTTCAAGTTTTCCACAGTGAAAAATAAATCTTCCCAATAGCAATCACTGAAGGAAGTCTCCAGAAGGAAGATGGGGCCCCACAACAATGACTCTACTCATCCAGAAAGCTGCCATTGTACCTAAGCACATTACTCAATGATCAGCTTTGGACTGATAATTCTTCAGGACAGTTCCAAGATGAGATGGTCCATCATACTACACTTCTAGCCAGAATCTCAGACAACCTTATCCATTACTCTGAGACTGGCCCTACTGAGACCTAACTATCTATGCTTTCTTACAGGACCCCACAGAGATACTGTCACCCCCTAAACAGCAGGAAGCAATTCTAAGAAAACAATCTCCCAAAGATTTCATTTTCTCAGGGTTATGGATAAATGGTTATAGGGTTGGGGATGGAACACTAAAATTTAGACTCAGTATTCTCCTTTAGAAAAGAAAAAAGGAGAATGCATATGTATAGTATTTTAAGGTAGATTATTGTATCTTCTAGTAAACTGTTTTAGCAAACTATTAGCCTTGGATAATTTGCACTGATATGGATTCTTGTATATTTGATACAAATGTAAACTCTTCTTATATTCCCATTTAAGATAATTGGTATATTGATACAAATGCAAAACTTTATCTGTTGTATTATACTTATATTTCTACTCCTGTTTGAAATATTTTGTATATTGCTACAAATGTAAAATTATATTTGTCATACTGTATGTATGTTCTACCTCTGCTTAGGATACTTTGTATATTGATACATATTAAGGATATTGTTGTCATACTCTATATTGCACTATACATTTCTACCTCTGTTTAAGATATTTTGTGTATTGTCACAATTTTGAGTTCATTGTCCTTATACAGTACATCTGCTTACAGACTGTTTACCTAGTTAATGTAAAGCCTTAGCCCTTAGGTTATTTAGGTAGAGAAGACTTACAGATTTATAGTCACCCATGTCTGTCACTTCTATAGTTATGTTAGTTAGGTTCTCCAGATTTACAGAAGGATATGTCAGATGGATAGGTAATCTTCAAACACTTCATAGACCTAGAGAACATGGCATTTAGATGTTTTGATAATTTAGAATTCTGTTGACATGAGACACGATTGCTCCTGGCAGCAAAGATCTGATCCCGAGAGAATGTTAGCCTTCTAAGACATTTCCGTTTGGAAGTTTGTCTTCTTCTTGGCACAAAATGGCCTGCTGGGCAAAGAACTGCCCTTGCTTCTACTGATGACAGCATAAATGCTGTCCTTTCTAGATGAGCAGGACACAAGGAAAAGTGACTACTGAACTCTGCCAAGACAGGGTAAGATGGTCTTTCAAAATTCCTGCTTCTGAAAATAGTCTAGTAGTCTAGGCCTTCTGAAAATAGTCTGATAGTCTCGGCCTTTAGCCAAATCGGATGCCCCAACAATGCTGAAAAACTTTAGGTGACTGTCCAGGCTGCCAACTCTCTGTCTATTCTCGTAAGAATTTCAGAAATTGCTTGCTTGCATTTTCCATTTTCTCAGGTATTAGTATGTTCCTTCTCAGTTCTTTGATGGAATTAAAGACTAGGTAGTAACAGTTACAATCTTCTCATGTCTTAGCTAGAACATATTAAGTACTAGAGTTAGAATCTTCAAGATAGGACAGCTATTGGAGCAATCTCAGTAGTTTGTCATTTACCTATCTTCTGGACATCTCTAGACATTTAGCATGTCTTTCTTGTTTGATGTTGTTCTTGTTGGTTGTAGTTCCATTTTTGTTTATGTTATTACCCTATCTTCTTCCTGGACAATACTTGATACTCATTCTTATTGTACACAGTTTGCATTAAGTTTAGAACCTTCTTATTTAGACAAGAAGGGGAAATGTAGTGGTATTTGCTCTGCCCATGACCTTGGGCTATAGGGTCCAAAGGAGGCAGTGCTTCTTGCCCTTGTGACCTCTTAAAAGGAAAGGAAGAAGGGTCATGAATCCAGGTGGATTCACTCTGAGCTGTTTACTCAGTTCTATATTCGTGAGTGTATTTATATCTTAATAAATCCCTATTACCCATTAAATAGACTCACATGGATTGATCTTAACATGCCCACATTAGGATAATCCTGAGATTTTTCTCAGTGGGAGTCTCTAGTGAATTATCTCTAGTGACACAGAATGTGGCAAAACTGATTTCATGTCCCACTTCCACATTCACTTGATCCCCTTTCCACTCCTTCACCAATGTCTCCACCATACCTGGATCCTTAGCTACTGTCTCCTCTCCCCTTCCAGGTCACTTTGTTCTGCTGCACAGGTGAGCATGTCTGGGTGATCAGTGAGACCTGAACATGAGAAAGAGATTGTTCAGTAAACATGGGTACATCTAACACAGTACTGTGCTCAGGAGATGAAGAGAAAACTAAATACAGTATTATAAAATGATTCAGTGTCAGAATACTGAAAACAATTAGAAAGCATTTTTAGTTATGGTAACTGGAATCACACTTCCAGTCACAGTTCAATCAAAATTCAGGGGCAGAAATGGAACTGAATGATTGGGAAGAGAATATTATACACTAGGGAGGTTCTGAATTGATCATGGACCAATAATGATGAAGTCTTACACCTCCCAAAAGGACATACATGAATAAGAGAGAAGATTTCATGAAAACTTCCTGTTTTCTGCTGAGGATTTCACTTTTTCTGTGGGATGTGAGACTCATCCACACAAAGCTCACAGACTTGCAGATTAGTTTGTCAAGAAATACTGAGGAGGAGCAAGGGAGACTGCAAGCAAACTATTCTCACCCACAGAGACCATTCTGCTGCAATTCTGCAACATCCAGTGCAAGTACAAAGGCCTCAGAGCAGGTCCAGGCATGGCCACACCTCCTGGGAGATGTCCACAGTCACACCAAAGGCTGTCAACAGACTACAAAAGAAAATGCAACAGTTTGAATTGTCCTGTTGGTGCACACCTTTAATCCTAGCACTTGGGAGAAACAGGTGGGTGGATTCTGTTTTCCAGTCCAGCTTGGTTTACATGGTGAGTTTGGGCTAGACAGAGTAACACTGTGAGCTCAGGTCGCAAACACAGCAAACACAAGAACCAAAAAAAAAAAAAAAAAAAAAAAAAAAAAAAAAAAAAAAAAATAACAGTTTGGTCATATGTCCATGGACAGAATGCTTTTCTTGGACCAAGGAGACAAAAGACTATTGCAGAGATTTTTCTGATATAGATGTTATCATAAGTATTCAAAAAGGTGCTTTCTAATATTATTCTATATTATAATGCTTTCCAATTTCTTTCTTCGTCTTCTATTTCCCTTGAAACAGGGTTTTTCTGTGCAGTGCTAGCTGTCCTTAAAGTCACTATGTACACCTTACCAGCCTCCAACAGACTGCGATCCACCTGCCTCTGCCTTCTGAGTGTTAGGATTGAAGGCCTGTGCCACTAGGCCTGGCAAAGACACTTTTCAGAATGCTGTATTTACATCCCAGTGTGCATACGTCTCAGAGGGAAAATTAATGGTGGATAAACATTTACTTTTAAAAGTTAATGTTTAAAAGTAAACTGTGGAACTCGCAAAAAAAAAAAATGTACTTTCAGATTCAATGAAATTTGCAGGCGTTCCTTTCATGACTATTATCTAAAAGCTCCTGGCGAATCCAAGTCTCCAGGTAAATACGCCACTCTCTTGAATAGGGAAGCGGTACAACACGGAAGTTAGTATGGATGATTGTAAATTTCAAGAGCTTTGTCGTTTCCACCATAGCAAAGAGAATCGTGTTTGCAAATCTCAACAGATATATTCAAACATTCGATTAGATTATTCTTACAAGAATATTTGGATAATCAAAAGATGAGTTTAAAAAAAAGAAACAGGCTTATTCCATAGAATCTAAAATACACCAAGGGAAAGACATCCACAGCAGAACTTCAGAGCCGGCTTCCTTATGAACAGCAGAGAAACTGCTCGCACCCCTGGTCCCTCCCCTCCCGTGTCCCAGCCCCGCAGCTCCTCTGACCTGGGAGGTTCCAGGGCCGCCGGGCTGCGGTTCCCGCCACTGCGCTGCTGACTGGTGACTTTCCCAGGCCGCCCCGCGCGGCGACTGCGGCTCCGGGGAGGTTTCAGGTCCCCGCGACACCCCGCCGTGTCCTCCGCACCCAGGTCTGCACCCCCACGATTCCCCAAGGTGCAGCAAGGAACAATAATGGTCCCTCAGCACTGCTGACCTTGGCCCTGCTCCAACATCCTCAGTCTCATATTGTGTCCCAGCTTCCCTTTACGTCACCACTCTAAGCCCTCCCACACTCCTCTCTTCCCCTACGCTCAGCCAATGTGCCACATCCTCCCATCCGCTGTTTCCGGTTGTGTGTCTCCGCCCATTGGGGACCCGTCCCTCCCACTCCGTCTCAGGCTGCCTTCCACACAGCTCCAGCTGTCAGGCTGCCCTGGACCCGCTCTGCACAGCCTCCCCACATGCTTGCTGCCAGCCTAGACCAGACCTGGATTTAGAAGGACGCTGCACCCCGGTATCTGACCCCTACAGTGAGTTCTGAAATCTTCAGACAAAAGACAGGCAGCCTAACCTCAGCTTGACTACCAGCAGGCTGGGCTACATACTTACACCCAATGAAAACAGGCTAAATTCAGATTCCAGCGTCTCAACGCTAACACAAACATGAAAATCCAGAACCATATACTGCATTTGTGCCTTGGGGAGAGACATTTCAGGAACTTGGAATTTGGAAAGGAATAGGTGTCTCCAGAAGTCGGTGGTCAGCCCATTGCTAACAGCCCAGTGCTGAGTTCATCCCGCGCTGTACCGCTCTCACCACCAGATGGTGGTCTTGTCATTTTACTAACTCAGAAACTAGTCTTTTGTGACTCATGCTAAAGGTAATTTGAGATAAAACAGACAAACAAACAAAACATTTTTTTAATGCAGCAGTGAATGCAGAGACTCTTGGCTATCCAAGATACAGAAAATGAGTAAGGTATGTAGTCCCAGCCCTGAAAATGTCAGTTACACCTTCCCATCTATGGCTGTGGGAACATTAAGAGGTGGAGGAAAGGAAATAAGAAGGGAAGGAGGAGGAAGGGCTAAGACATGCCGTTCTCTAGACTCCACACAGCTGTGGTAATCAGTAACCAACAGCAGCTGTACTGACCTGCATGGACCTCACACTAGATCACAATCAGTCTAGGAAAGGAAAAGGCTCTCAGGGCCCACCCTTTACTTCTCAAATGTCGGCGGTGGATGCATTGTAGAAGAATCACTGCCTTTAGCTGCAGTCCTCTGCTGAGTCCACCAGGCTCCAACACGTTGGTCCAAACCCACAGTCTCACAGATGGCTCTGGTTACTCTCATGGAGTCACAAGGAAAATGAATGGAGATGAACACAATAGATTTGTTGGAATTGTGGACCAGGATAGTAGAGAGGTAGCACGTGAGAATGGACAGTATTTGAGGCACACACACACACTTTTATACACACATTCTGTGAGTGTGTGTGTGAGGGGGGGAGAGAGAGAGAGAGAACTAATAATAGAAATTTTTAACATGAGCATGGCACTCTGTTATTTCTGTTTGGTTATATCAGTACATCATTTAATATCAGGTTATACTAAGAGTCAGGAAGTCTTCCTTTTTGTTTCAAGTATTTATGTAACTTTGCTGTTCTTCTTTGAAGTTCTGATAGAATCCTGTCAATCAGATCATGGTGTCGTTTGGGGGGTTGCGGGGAGGGTCATTTTATTACTGCTTCAGTCTCATTGCTACTTCTGTTTACATATTTATTTCATGTTGTTTAAATTTCATATATAATGTCGATCTGGAAACTCATCTATTTCATTTAGAGTTTCCAATTCAGTGGATTAGAGGTCTTCAATATCAGTAGAAATAAGATCCACTTGTTTATTCATGTCTATCAAGTAGTTTGTCATGACATGGTGTTAAAAAGTTACATATAGTTTTCAAAATTATGCAAACCTTTAATCACAGCACTCAGGGGCCAGGGGCAAAGGGAAACTGTGAAGTCACAGCCAGCCTGGTTTGCATAGTCAGTCTAGGACAACTGTTAATAAACAGAGAGTCCTTGTCTAAAAACAAAGAAAACTTCACCCTGAAGAATAGCTTTCATGGTGACAAAAGCACCATTCAAGCTTCCAAAGGTGGAAGACAATGACCAGTCTTATCCAGCTGTGATGCCTATGAACCACATCAGTGATCATCATGGTACAATAACCCTGAGTGCAGCAGTGGCAAGCATACCTTGGTGATAACCAACACCTCTCTAATTGGACTTAAGAAATTGTTAACAAAAGAGAAACCTTGACTGGTACTGGAAACCTGGATGACTGCTCAGTGCTGGTGAAGTCATGAATCTGGGAGGAGAACCAACAACCACGACTTTACTAAACCTGCATAATCCCTAACAAAAATCTAAACATTTTCCTTATACCCACAGATAAGCATAGTCTTCACCAGTTATTAAATAAACTTCTCTTTGCAACAGACAGAGACCACTACAAATAAGCCACATCTAATCAAAATGCAGAGTTGTGGATGCCAGGCCCAATGAATACATATATAAAACACTCAAGGAAATTTTTTGAAGAAGTGTGTATAAAATATATATAGTGGGGATTTCTATGAATGACTTACAGCCTACTGTTCAGCTAATCCAACAATGTTTAGCTGTGAACAAAAAGTCCAAGAATCTAGTACTCATTCCACTAGGCTGGATGTCTCAACTGGTTGTCAGTATATGCTGGAACCCAAAAGAAATAGGCTCCAAAGCCAGTGAAGAAACGGATGTGCTATCAAGGCTAGGACAAGTAGACAAGGAGCAAAAGCTTCATTGTTCCCTATTGTTATATAGACTTCCAGCAGAAGGTGTGGCCCAGATTAAAGTTGTGTCTTCCAGGCTCATGATCCTTTTCAAGGCATGTGTCTTCCTACCTCCAGATATAGATTAAGGCATTTGTCTTCCTATCTCTAAGGTCTGGACTAATAGTGGATTCACACACTTCAAACCAAGCAAAAATAATCTCACAGGTGTGCCCTCCTTTTCTGGATTGTAGTTCATTGCACATATCATAAATTAGACAAGCAAGAGTAGCCATCACAAGTCCACCCCTTGTCAACTTGACACACAACCACATTTCCTTATGTCATGATTAATTTCCCATTGAAAACATTAAACGGTCATAATAACAGCTAAACACAATGTAACTGTACCAAATAGAATCACAAATGCATTATGTATTTAACCATATCATAATTACACCTAACATGATATAAACCACTCTTGTACAACTGCAAACGCATTTGAAATTTAGAATAGGTGTCAATGTCACTTGTGGAACAGGACTTTAGTATCTCAAATTTAAATATGATAACCATTGGTATTCTCTTAGTTGATATTACATCACTTGATAAAGAAATTGAAAGACGACAAATATCTGTACAAAAGCATACTTAGAAAAATACAATGAAAACACTAATGTCAACTGTAATTTTCCTCTCTGTTGCTGGTCACGTGGCCTTAACAAGTGCTTATTAACTACCTTCCTCTACTACCCATTCTGTATTTTCTCCACCCTCAGCAGGTCTTGGCTCCTTTCCTGAAAAGTGACCCATTCCTTCATTCCAGATGTGTCTGTGCCCTTTGTCATCCTTCCTGGATTAGGCTGTTGTCGTTTCCCATTGACTTTAATCACAGGACATGGTAGCACTTAGAGACACCCTAAAGGCTCTCCTGCACTGCAGACATAATCCCTCTAATCCACATTGTGGAGAGGCAATCCTGTTTCCTGGTAATTTGGAAAATCACCCCTCCTAACATGTTTATTCCTTTCTTAGCTTGTTGGTTTAAGGGCATTAGAATCCAAAAGTGACCAGGGGGAGTCTGATCTTCTGGTTCAATGGAATAGCTGTTTCAGCTCCTGGCATGAATGTTCCCTGTCTGGAACCAAAATTTCTAAACCAGCAGAACTTTAATGTTGAGGGAACAGGATGTAAAAATTTCCTAGTGGGTCACTAGGGGTGATAGTGAAAGGAACTATTCCCTTTCCCTCCACTTCATTCCTGGGACACCTGGATCCTGGTTAAAGGAGAAACTATATAACATATTTGACACTGATTCAAAGCATATACTCCCTTCTGGAGAACCCTACCACACCCCAGGCTGCTGCCATCTAATTGGCCCTGTAACTGTTATTTCAAAAAGCCATTCCTTCTTTCTATATGGCCAGCTGCTTCTGCATGGTGGGGAACATGGTAAGACCAGTGGATTCCATGATCGTGGGCCCACTGTTGCACCTCTCTGCTCTAAAGTGAGTTCCTCAGTCAGAAGCAATAATGTGTGGAATACCATGATGGTAGATAAGGCATTCTGTAAGTCCACAGGTAGTGATTTTGGCAGAAGCATCCCCTGCAGGAAAGTCAAATCCATAAGCAGAATAAGTATCTACTCCAGTAAGGACAAAGCTTCCTTTCCATGGAAGAAGTGGTCCAATGTAGTCAACCTGTCACCAGATTGCTGGCTGGTCACTCAGGGGAGTGGTGCCATATTTGGGGCTGAATGCTGGTATGTGCTATGGGTGAACCTGGCACTCAGGAGCAGCTGTAGCCAGGTCAGCCTTAATGAGTAGAAGTCCATGTTGCTGAGCCCATGCCTATTGCCCATCTCTGTCACTATGGCCACTTTGTTCATGGGCCCATTGGGCAATGAGAGGAATGGATAGGGAAAGAGGCTGACTGTCCACAGAACAGGTCATCCTATGTACTTGGTTACTGAAGTTCTTTTGAACTGAAGTGACCTTTGATGAGTATTTACGTGAAACACAAGTATCTTCACATCCTTTGCCCTCTTGGACAGATCTATCCACATATTTCCCGAGATATCTTTCTCACCAATTTTTCCAGTTATGCTCTTTCCAGTCCCTGGCCATCCAGTCAATCTATTGGCTACAACCCATGAGTCAATGAACAATCACACATTTGACCATTTCTCCTTTCAAAAAAACTGTATGTGTACTATACAAAGTCCTGCCCACTGTGAAGATTCTCTTCACCTCTGTCTTTCAGGATTGTTCCAGGAAAGGATTGCTGCAGCTGTCCACTTCTGGGTGGTGCCTGTATAATGTGCAGAGCCATCAGCAAATCAGGTCGTAGTCTTCTCTTTCTCAGTCAGCCTTTCATAGGGCACACCCCATAAGGCTATAAGTGAATGCTTGGCAGCAGACAGCATTGCAACAGGAGTAGACAATACATTCATTTGGGTAACTTCTTCATGTAACTTACCTTCAGGATCTACTCAGGCCTGATCATGTATATATCACTTCCATCTAATAAAAGATTGCTGCTGTGCATGTCCTACTTTATGACTTGATGGGTCAGATAACACCCAGCTCATGATGGGCAACTCATGTCACATGGTAACTTGGTGACCCATTGTCAAACATTCAGTTTCCACTAAGGTCCAATAGGAGGCCAAGAGCTGTCTTTTTTTTTTAACATGTATTGATTCATGTGGATTTCACATCATGCATTCCATTCCCACTTATCCACCTTTCCCCAGCATCTGCCATCTTCCCTTGCAACTTCCTCACCCCAAACAAAACCAGATTTGAAAGGAAAACCAAAAACAAAAGAAAAATACAAATAGCACAAAAAAACATACAAACAAAAGGGAGAATCCTATCATAGAAGCTGTATTGTTGCCCTTTGAGACACAGTTTACCCTTTAGTCTGTTCATCTTTACTTGCAAGTTTTCAGTACCATGAATCATTTGTCTGGCCAGAGGCCTCTGGTCTCTGTTACCCCACTAATAATGAGCTCTCACTGGGGTTCCTCTTTGATATCCTGTTGTCCTGTGTCGTGGAGATCCTGATGTTTTGGATCTGTAGGTTTGTCCCCTTCACATGCTCCAACAGTTCATAGATTTGGTGGATGTTGGGGTAGACCAACTCATAGCCCTGGTTCTGCGCCTAGGTTGGTCAGCTTGCCAGCTTTCCCTCATTGTCACTACCTAGATGAGCTCTCCAGCAGTGCCTCAGCCAGCCCACCCAGTGCAGCCTACAAGGGCCAGTTCTCCTGCTCTTGGGCCCTCAGACCTAGGTACCCCTCACTCATATCTGTAGGGCCAGCTCTACTGTTTTGTCCAGACAAGGTGCAGGGTCCTCTTTCCAGATTGCTGTAGGCAGCGTATGAGGGGTGGCAGGTTAAACTCTTCTCTTCTCACATCCTCAGGGCTAGCTTACCTGTATCCATGGCAACAGGGTCAGCTTTAGTGTGTTGGCCAGGCAGGGTGTAGGGCCCACTCTTTTTACATCAAGAAATAGCTCTTTGCAGTAGTTCTCTTTTTGCATGTACCCTGACTGCTCAAGGTTCAGCCACTTGTTTACTGTCTGGGATCCCTCAACAACTTAGAGCTACATGCATGGGTCAATGTGACATTACTAGCCTAAGAGACACTACGTGACATATATTGTGTTTTGAGAATGGGTAGGCCCCTGAAAATGTAACTTATAATTGTCTAAGTTTGGCAGTGAGGCCACAGCGAAGGTGTGGAGAGAGACGGCTATGTAGAGCTGGGTGAAAAAGCTGATGCCATGAAGGAAGAGCTATGTGAAGGAATTGTGGAAAGATCTGGGCAGTGAGTGAGTGTGTGTACGCTAGAGTGTGAGTGTGTGTGCACAGAAGGAGCTGAGGGGAGAACACAAATGGCTAGGCAGGAGAGGGTGGGAGATTTTCAGAGAGAAGTGAAAGCTGTATAAGTGTGTGTGTGGAAAACGTAGCTGTATGTAAAGGGATGTACCTGTGTGGAGACAGTGATATTTTAAGAGAGAGATTTTTGAGAGGATTTCTTAAATAGAAGAGAAAGTTGTCAGAAATAGCGTGTGTTTTCCTATTATTTACCCCTCAGATAGAAAAAGTCTAGCCCTCAGATACGTAAGAATTTTTCCTAAGCTCTCTCTGCATTCATGGATTTTCTTGCATTATGCTGGTGGTAGCTGGGGGCTGGCCCCCCATGCTACCAATAGTCCGTGTGGTAGAGCAATCTTCACAGCAACCCGAACTTTTTGAAGAACATTCTCCTGTTCCAGGCCCCACACAAAGGGAGCAGATTTCCTACTCACTTGGTATATGGGCCAAAGGAACACATCCAAGTGAGGAATGTGCTGTGTCCAAATCCTAGTAGGCCCACTAAAGGTTGTACCTTTCTCTTGGTGGTAGGAGGAGGGCCGGGGGAAACAACTTATCTTTCACCTTAGAAGGAATATCTCAGCATGCCCCACACCACTGAACTCCTAAGAGTTTCACTGGGGCAGAAGGCCCTTGAATTTTGGTTGGACTCATTCCCCATATTCTTTTGCACATATGTGTTACCAATGAGTTCAAAGTGATTGCTCCCTCCTGCTCACTTGGTCCAATCAGCATAATGTCATCAACATAGTGCACGAGTGTGAAATTTTGTGGAAGAGACAGATATTGAGATTCTATCTAAATTAGTTATGACACAGGACTGGAGGGTTAATATGTCCTTGATGTAAAATTGTAAGGGCATAATGCTGGCCTGGTGAACTGAAATCAAATTACTTCTAGTGGTCCTTATGGACAAGTACTGAGAAAAAGGTATTTGCTACATCAATAGCTGCATACCATGTACCAGGAGATGTGTTGATTTTCTCAGGAAGGGACACCACATCTGCTACAGCAGCTACAGTTGGAGTCACTACCTCACTGAATTCTCAAGAGTCAGCTGTCATTCTCCATGATCCATCTGTCTTCTGCACTGGCCAGATAGAAGAATTAAGGAGATGCCTTGGGAACCACCATACTTGCATCTTTCAAGTCCTTGACGGTAGCACTAATTTCTGCAATTGCTCCAGGGGTGTGATATTGCTTTTGATTCATTGTTTTCTTTGGCAGAGGCAGCTCTAAGGCTTCCATTTACCCTTTCCAACTATAGTGGCTCTCACTCCACAGGTCAGGGAACCAATGTGAGAATTCTGCTCATTTCTAAGTATGTCTATCCCAATTATCCGTTCTGGAACTGGGGAAATAACTACAGGAGAGTTCAGGGACCCCTTGTACCTACTGTGATTCAGACTTCAGCCAAAATGCCATTAACCACCTCACCTCCATTAGCTCCTACTTTACCTGGAGGGCCACAGTGTTTCTTGGGGTTTCCTGGAACAAGTGTCAATTCTGAACCAGTATATAATACACCCCAGGAAGTAGGATTATTTCCATTATCCCAGTGTACTCCATCTTGTGAAAGACCTTAGGTCTTTCTGGGGAAGGACTGGAGAAAGGCTAACAGTAAAACCTTTAGGTATTTTATGAAGGTTCTTCCTCAGGGAAACCCACCTGTCCCTTTTAAGGGGTTCTGGGTTTGCAATCTGGTCTGGAATATATTCACTGGACTAGATTGCCTTTTGCTACAACCCAGTATAGTTTCTCTTTGATTCATTTGAGAATTTTTCTGCTTATAGAGATCAAACAAAAATTCAGTAAGCTTCTTCTCTGTTTTCTGCCTGGAAACACCATGATGGGACCTATGGTACCATAGGTCCATAAGAGTCATGCCACCATAAAATTCACTTGCTTGTGCTGAGCATTACATTTATGCCACTATAAACATTGTTTGGTCTATGTTGCCCATTATGATAAATACTATTACCTTTCCTGTGGTGAGTGATTCAGCACTGTCACATGGCACCTGATACCTCAGGGCCTGAATAAAGCCAGTGCATTCGAGTCATCCAGTAAAACAGCAGTATCTCTAAACCCCAGGTCTGACGCAAGGACAAGGGAGACAAAAAAAAAGACCCCAGCAGCTGACCAGCAGGTGAGAGACCTGTGAGAAGACTGCACCACCACTGCAGCCACCCAGTGGACTCTGATTCCACAAGACCTGCTACTGCCCAAATTCACCTACTCCAGCATCCTCCCCACAGACAGCCCTCTCTGGCAACATCAGCAGGCCCAATAGGCACAAGCACCATCCACACCATTCTCATGAACTGGTGAGTGACTGGTCTCCCAGCTGAGCTACCCAACCTCCAGTCCCTAAGCCCCAGGGCACAACCCACAACCCTCCCCCTCCCATCTCAGCCTCAGCAAGGCAGCTGGGCTCCAGCCCCAACTCTGGTGGAACCCCACTGTTTGGTGCAGACCACAGCAGTCAGCCAGCAGTTGAGACACCTGTTGGCCTGCCGCACCACCACAGCTGCCACTGACTGGACTCTGTACCCACAAGACCCACTCACTGCCCAAACCCACCCACCACATCATTCTCCCTTTAGTCAACTTTTTTGGTGTAAAACATTTTAATGTGTGTTACTTTTGTTCATGTTGCATTTGTTTAAGTCTGTGAAGCTGTTACTGTGCCTGTGTAAAACACCTGATGGCTTAATAAAGAACTGGCCAATAGCAAGGCAGGAGAAAGGATAGGTGGGGCTGGCAGGCAGAGAGTATGTAAAGAAGGAGAAAACTAGGTGGAGAGGGCTAGGTTCTAGCAGCCAGAGAAGGAGGAGGACTCCAGGGGTCAACCACCCAGATACACAGCCAGCCATGGAGTAAGAAACAAAGAAAGGTATACAGGAATAGAAAAGGAAAAGCCCAGAGGCAAAATGTAGTCGGGATAATTCAAGTAAGGAAAGCTGGCTAGAAACTAAGCCAAGCCAAGGCTGTGCATTCATAATTAAAAATAAGCTTCTGTGTGTGATTTGTTTGGGACCTGGGTGGCCAGCCCCCCCCCCCAAGAAAGAGTAAAATACTAACAACAACATTATCTGCTTTACTTCAGTTACTTTCCCATTTTCAGTAGTTTTTTTTTTATACAGTAAGTTGCTGTGGGATGGTCTGTATGTCAAATTGCTCTGATTGGTCAATAAATAAAAAACTGATTGGCCAGGGGCCAGGCAGGAAGTATAGGTGGGCCTAACAGAGAGGAGAACAGAAAGAACAGGAGTCCCTGCCAGCCACTGCCATGACAAGCAGCATGTGAAGATGCCGGTAAGCCACGAGCCACGTGGTGTAGCTAGAGTTTTCCTGCCTGGACCACAGTCAGGACAAATCTCTCTCACCTGCCAGTCCCACAGCCACTCAGACCCGACCAAGTAAACACAGAGACTTATATTGGTTACAAACTGTATGGCCGTGGCAGGCTTCTTGCTAACTGTTCTTACAGCTTAAATTAATCCATTTCCATTAATCTATACCTTGCCACATGACTCGTGGCTTACTGGAGTCTTTACATGCTGTTTGTTATCGTGGCGGCTGGCAGTGTCTCTCTGACTCAGCCTTCCACTTCCCAGCTTTATTCTCCTCCTTGTCCTGCCTATACTTCCTGCCTAGCCAATGGCCAATCAGTGTTTTATTTATTGACCAATCAGCAACATATTTGCCATACAGAACATCCCACAGCAACGTAGCAAGGTATAGATTTATGGAAATGGATTAATTTAAGCTATAAGAACAGTTAGCAAGAAGCCTGCCACAGCCATACAGTTTGTAAGCAATATAAGTCTCTGTGTTTACTTGGTTGGGTCTGAGCGGCTGTGGGACTGGCTGGTGACAAAGATTTGTACTGACTGTGGGCAAAGCAGGAAAACTCCAGCTACAGTAAGTATCTAACTTACTGTAAGCCAAATGACTTAGTGGAAATACTAATGTGCTTTCATCAGAAGCCTTAGTATCCACAGCCAACCACACCCTGCAACATCAGCAGTCCCTCTAGGCACAAGCACCACCAATATCAATTGGAAGAACAGAGTCCAGCAGTTGACAATCAGATGAGAGACCTGCGGGCATGACACACCACCACTGCTGCTACCCACTGGACTCTGTTCCCTCAAGGTGCACTCCACCAGCCAACCACACCTACCCCAGCATCCCACCCATGGACAGCCCACTCCAGCAATTTCAGCAAAACCTATAGACACAAGTGCCACCCACACCAATTGGAAGAACAGATGGGTAAATGCCAGTGTAAGAATACATTCAACAAAATAAAGGGCAACATGGCACCACTAGAACCCTGTGGTCCTACAACAGCAAGACCTAATATAGATGAAGCAGAAGAAAACAACCTTAAAATAACTTTATTAAGATAATAGAGGCCCTTAAAGAGGAAGTTAAAATTCCCCTAAAGAAATTGAGGAAATGACAAACAAAAAAATTAGAAGAAAGCAATAAATCCCTTAAAGAAAGCCAAGAAAAAATAATCAAACAGGTGAAGGAAACAGTTCAAGACTTGAAAATTGAAATAGAGGCAAGAAAGAAAACACAAACTGAGGGAATGCTGAAAATTGAAAATCTGGGTAAATGAACAGGAACTACAAATGCAAGCATCTCCAGCAGAATACAAGAGATGGAAGACAGAAACTCAAGCATTGAAGATACAATAGAGGAAATAGATTCATCACTCACAGAAAATGTTAAATCCAAATAATCCTTAACACAAAACATCCAGGAAATCTGGGAAACCATGTAAAGACCAAACGTAAGAATAACAACAATAGGAGAAGAATACCATCTCAAAGGCACAGAAAATATATTCAACAAAATCATAGAAGAAACTTTTGCCAGCCTAAAAAAGGACACCCCTATGAAGGTACAAGAAGCTTACACCACACAAAATAGACTGGACCAAAAAAAAAAGTTCCCTTGCTACATAATAAACAAAACACCAAACATACAGAATAAAGAAAGAATATTAAGAGCTGCAAAGGAAAGGGGTCAAGTAATATATAAAGGCAGACTATCAGAATTCCACCCAACTTCTTAATAGAGACCCTGAAAGTCAGAAGGTCCTGGACAGATGTTTTGCAGACACTAAGAGACCATAGATGCCAGCCCAGACTCCTAAGCTGAGCAAAAATTTCAATCATCGTTGAAAGAGAAAACAATATATTCCATGACAAAACCAGATTTATACAATACCTTTCCACAAATCCAGCCCTACAGAGCACTAGAAGGAAAACTCAAACCAAAGGAAGTTAGCTGTACCAACAAAAGCAAAGGCAATAGATAATCTCACACCAGCAAATCCCAAAGAAGGGAGACACACACACTCTACCACCACCACCAACAGGGTGGCCTGGGAAAGTCACCAGTCAGCAGCGCAGTGGCGGGAACCGCAGCCCGGTGGCCCTGGATCCTCCCAGGTCAGAGGAGCTGCAGGACTGGGACACGGGAGGGGAGGGACCGGGGTGCAAGTAGTTCTCTGCTGTTCATAAGGAAGCCAGCTCTGAAGTTCTGCTGTGGATCACTTACCCTTGTCGGTAAATTTTAGACCATATGAACTGGACTATACCTGATTTTTTGAATTGATTCTCTGGTTCATATATATGTGTGTGTGTGTGTGTGTGTGTGTGTGTGTGTGTGTGTGTGTGTGTGTGTATTGCTATATGTATATGTGTGTATATATATATATATTGCTATATGTATATATTGCTATATGTATAATATGTTGTTTTTCAAGACAGGGTTTCTCTTCATAGCCTTGGTAGTCCAGAAACTCACTGGGTAGATCAGGCTGGCCTCAAACTCACAGAGATCTGCTTGCCTCTGTGTCTAGAGTGCTGAGATGAGAGGCATGAACTACCACCAAAATATTCTTATAAAAATAATCTACTAGAATATTTTAATCCATCTGGTGATATTTGCAAACATGGTTCTCTTTGCTTTGGTGGAAAGAACAAAGTTCTTGAAGTTTACATTCATCCACGCTAACTTTCATGTTATAGGTGGTACCTGAAGATAAAGCATAACTGGAGAACTTTTGGATATTAGTCAGGAAAGGAAGTGTAAGGTTTTTTCTTTAGAGGAAGGGCATGTTGTAACACAAAGTCACACCAGGCAACAACACTCAGATTTATTGGAGACACAGAACAGTGGCTGCCACTGTAAGGAAAGAGAGACATCGGAGGCCTGAGTGGAGTGTCGGGCTTTTATAGCTTCTTTGTAGCCTGTGCAGTGACCTAGTGGAAAAGTACGATGGGGATGAAAGTATTGTTTGACGATGAAGGCTGAAACATTGGCCATTAACAGGGACTCAGAGTGGGGATTTCCAAGACTCTTGAGTTTCTGGGCAGGCCGGAGACAGGGTAATTTTCCACTGGCCTATTACCCTGGAGGAATTGAAACTAACACTCTGGTGACACACTCACCTTTAGTCCCTTTTATAGTTACTGTTGAGTAGAGTAGCAATGAACATGGATGAGCAAGTATCTGTGGAGTAGGATGTTGAGTCTTTTGAGAATATGCCAAGAAGTGGAACAGTGAGTCATGTGTTAGATTTATTTAACTTGAGGATTAATTTATTTGATTGAGGCTAGATTTTTTTGTTCATGGCGTTTTTATTTTCTATGGTTTTGTTTTTTATGTTGCTGCTGGTTGGATTATTGGGAGTATTCCTCTCCTCTGTGAGAATTAGTGATTTGCTGACTTGTTCTTGGGTGATTACTTCCTAGTTCTCCTGTATTTCTCTATTCCTCACATGAAATTTATTATTTCCCATGTTCTCATGGATGATTTCTCTGACTCTTCTATATATGTTTTGCGTCTAATTTATTATCTGCCATGCTTTTTAATGAAATGAATTGTGTTAATTGGTGACTATCTTGAAATGCACTTATGTCTCTATCAATTTTAGGAGAATAATTATCTTTGTGCAACAATATTGTTGAAAGTGATTTTTTCTTCGAGTTTCAAATGTCTTTTCATGCTCTCTTGGATTTCAGATCATTGAGCAGACACCTAGTCATATTCTTTTGTTTGGGTCTTTTTGTGTGGTTTGACACTGTTCTTTACCAGCTTTCAGTATTACTTTTTACTTTTTCTTTTTGACACCTTGATTTGAAAGGGCAGCAAGGCATCTATTCATTGTTCCTGAAAGAAAAACTCAAAGAAGAGAAAAAATTTGCTGATTCTCTAGTAAGAACGTCCCAGGTCGCTGGACAGTGGTGGTGCTCGCCTTTAATCCCAGCACTTGGGAGGCAGAGGCAAGCAGATCTTTGTGAGTTTGAGGCCAGCCTGGGCTACAGAGTGAGTTCCAGGAAAGGCGCAAAGCTACACAGAGAAACCCTGTCTCGAAAAACCAAAAAAAAAAAAAAAAAAAAAGTGTAATCACTCAATCTGCTGTGGGATGGTCTGTATGTCAAATGTGTTGCTGATTGGTCAATAAATAAATCACTGATTGGCCAATGGCCAGGCAGGAAGTATAGGTGGGACTAACAGAGAGGAGAATTGAGAGAACAGGAAGCTGGGTGAGGGAGACACTGCCAGCCGCTGTCAGACAAGGAAGATGTAAAGTACCGGTAAGCCACAAGCCACGTGGCAAGGTATAGATTAATAGAAATGGATTAATTTAAGCTGTAAGAACAGTTAGCAAGAAGCCTGCCATGGCCATACAGTTTGTAACCAATATAAGTCTCTGTGTTTACTTGGTCGGGTTTGAGCAGCTGTGGGACTGGCAGGTGTCAGAGATTTGTCCATACTGCTCGACCTGCAGTATGGTGGGAATGAGGCCTCTGCAAGTGGCACATTAAGCTGTGTGGTGGATTTAGACTTTGCTAGTACAAAAAAAGAGGTTTCTGGGCTACACACTGCTTGACTAAAAGCATAGACCCATGATAGCTCCCGTAACACCGCCATGTTGGGAAGCTGAGGTGGGTGGAGCCAGCCACAGCTGATGTAGTTTAAAGTAACAGATTCACAATAAGACAGATTCAGATGTAATAGTTTACAATGTGTGTAAAAATATACGTAGGCTTGAAAGAGAGAGAAAAAGGAATATATACAGTTATATAAAGAAATAAATAGTTTTTAAAAATAAAGTCTTTAGCCGGGCGGTGGTGGCGCATGCCTTTAATCCCAGCACTCGGGAGGCAGAGCCAGGCGGATCTCTGTGAGTTCGAGGCCAGCCTGGACTACCAAGTAAGTTCCAGGAAAGGCGCAAAGCTACACAGAGAAACCCTGTCTCGAAAAACCCAAAAAAAAAATAAATAAATAAAGTCTTTAAAGAGACAGTAAAGGTAGTATAAAAAATAAGCCACGTAGAGATGACTATTACACAGAGAATCTGGATTGTGTTGTCTTTGGGATTCTTAACTGCAGAGAGATATTTGATTGTAAAGGAAGCTGAGTTAAACCAGTATGTATATTTTAAAGATACTTTGACTTCAAAATTTGGATGTAAGGATATGTTGCTTTGGAAAAGAGTCTCTTTTGTTTCCACAGAAAGCAAGAGGCTGTGGATTTGTTCCAGAGTAAGATACATCAGGTTTGACCAGCCAAGACCACCTGAAAGGTCTCCGATGACACCATGGCCCAGATGATTCAACATCCAGAACCGTTTCAAGGCAACTGGCTCAGACGATACACCCTCATGGACTACTCCATAATCCTAAAGTATTCTTTGTGTCCCCATAAGATACAGCGCCCCCCTCCAGCAGGAAGTAGTAAGAGAAGCTACGCCCAAATTCCCAAATATACCAAGCTGACTTTGGAGATGTGTAAAGGTTAAAACCTTCCTTTTTAAGAAAAGAAAAGGGGAAGTGCTGTGGGATGGTCTGTATGTCAAATGTGTTGCTGATTGGTCAATAAATAAATCACTGATTGGCCAATGGCCAGGCAGGAAGTATAGGCGGGACTAACAGAGAGGAGAATTGAGAGAACAGGAAGCTGGGTGAGGGAGACACTGCCAGCTGCCGTCAGACAAGGAAGATGTAAAGTACCGGTAAGCCACAAGCCACGTGGCAAGGTATAGATTAATAGAAATGGATTAATTTAAGCTGTAAGAACAGTTAGCAAGAAGCCTGCCATGGCCATACAGTTTGTAACCAATATAAGTCTCTGTGTTTACTTGGTCGGGTTTGAGCAGCTGTGGGACTGGCAGGTGTCAGAGATTTGTCCTGACTGTGGGCCAGGCAGGAAAACTCTAGCTACAGTCCCAGGTCAGTGGTCATGTCCCTTAATTTTCTAGAATTGTTATATTTTAAGGCATTGGAAGCCTTTAGTTTCCTGCTTCTGGTAAATTTTTTAAACTTTTAAAAAATATTACAAGCAAGTAACAGCAAAAAAAATCACTCATTGAAATTAGACCCAAAGACTATACAACTCAATGTATTTTTATGCATTTAGAATAGTAATTGAGAATCAAAGTTCTAGAACATCATAGTTGATTTTATGTGTTGACTATATATATATATTCTTCCACATAGTATTTTTATTGATTACCTGGGAGTTTCACTTCATGCAACCTGATCACAATCCCTTTGGAGTCCTTCCATATCTGCCCACCTTTTGTGGCCCCTCCTCAAAGAAGAAATTAAAAGAAAGTCTACTTTGTATTATCTATATACTTTCTAAGTGGCTTGTGCCTTAAATATTTTGATATTCTCATCCACCCTGAAAAAGAAAAAAACATATGACTGAATTAGAACTAGAAAAGCAACTATCTATATATGTGTTTTCATAACAGGTGTTCATTACTTACATTCAGTCCTACCTCAACTCCTGATATTTAACCTTTCTTGTTCTCTTTTCTCCATGTTCTACTGTGCCCACATATACATCAAATCCCTATACACATATTAATGGCTGGATTCTACATATGAGGAAAAATGTGGTTTCTTTCTGTCTCAAAATGTATGACCTCACTTAATATTACACATTCTAAGTCCAAACATTCTTCTGCAGATCTTTATATTTTCTAAGTTCAATAGCATTCCATTTTATATGTAAATCATTTTCATTATCCATTCATCTATTGATAGATGATGAGGTTGATTCCAACTTATTGCCATGGTGAATACAGCAGCATTAACCATAGGGTGTAAATATCTCTATAGTGGGGTGTGGAGTTCCATGGATATATGCCCAGGAGTGAAAAAGGTGGGTTATACTTAGTACTATCTTTATTTTTTTAACCTATCTCCAAGCTGTTTGCCACAATGGCTGCATTAATTCACAGCCACAATGAAGCAATTATCTATTTATACTTTATCAATAAAAATTCATGAGTCAGATATCAGAGTAAGAACCTGAATGACCAGAGAAGCAGAGGAAGCCCCCAGTGACCTCCTATCTCTTCTGTTCCTCAATCAAAAAGGCTGTGATCCTCTCTCAGCCTTTTTACTTCCTGTCTCCTTTCTGTCCTCAGTCCTTCAAGACGTCAATGGTTAATTTTGGTCAGCTAGTGGCTCTCTGACTCAAAGCAAATTTAATTGTCAGAATGTGATCAAAATATCACACAACATTTCTCCCTTTTTGTCTAACCAAAAGGGAAGTCTTTAACCAATCTAGTAAAATTATATATAATAAGACAATACACACACACACACACACACACACACACACACACACACACACACACCTGTATATATATATACAGGTAAGAATTATAATAATAAAGTACAATCCATTTGTATTTGGCAAATTTAGAGAAAATGCTTCATTATCTGCCCTATCTAGGTGACTCCAAAGTTTTGTATCTAATTTTCTTTCTCTCCTAACTTGTATTACCAGCCCCAAACTATCTTTTTATGTCTCTCTATCCTATACACTTTACACCTCTTTCGTAAGTTTTTTCTGAATTTGGTAACAAGGAAAACTATAACTATCTACTCTTTAACTCCAATCAGAGACCTAAAAGGATATAATGTTACCTGAGTAACCAGGAAATGCAGAGCAAACAACTTCCAAAACTAAGAAATGACAGAAACAGCTGGCTGCCTGGACAGTCACCCAAGGTTGCTCTCTAACATTGGGGCATCCATCTTCAACCTACAGTCCTAGAATATCTGACAGAGTTTTCTGTGAAGCAGGAATTTTGAAGGACTGTCTCATCTTGTCTTGGCAAAGTTCTTCAGTCATTTCCTTTTGTGTTCTGTTTGTCCAATTTGGGCACCATACTGTTAGCAGTCAAGGCAAGGGCAGCTTCTTAACCAGGGGCTAACTTTTGCCACACAGTAAACTCCATATGGAGTTTCTTCAATGTCCATCATCTTCTCTGAAGTAGATTGGTGCTGCCAGGAGTGGACTTGTTTCATTGTCATAAAAAACCCTTGTTATTAAAACATCTTAAATGCAATATTCTGTAGATCACTGAAGTGTTTTGAAGACTACCTGCCTATCTAAAATACATCTCTGTTTGACCTTGAAAACATACCTAACATGACAACAAGTTTGATTGTAATAGGTGACTAACTAGTAACCTGTATTTTTTTGTTATACTGAATAGTTTGTAATAATAACTTTCAAGGACTGGAAATTTACATTACATTGGTAAATGAGTTGCATAGGTACAATACCTTAAATAAGAGTAGAAACATGGACCTGTCGCCCCTCGCTTGGCCTGACGAGTCGGCACGGTTGTCCCGAACGCCATGTCGGGTTCTTCCAGCGTCGCTGCCATGAAGAAGGTGGTTCAGCAGCTCCGGCTGGAGGCCGGGCTCAACCACGTGAAGGTTTCCCAGGCAGCTGCAGACTTGAAACAGTTTTGTCTGCAGAATGCTCAACATGACCCTCTGCTGACTGGAGTGTCTTCAAGTACAAATCCCTTCAGACCCCAGAAAGTCTGCTCCTTTTTGTAGTCATGTATCTTGAGATTTCTCAAACCACTTTTCATGAACCAGTGGATATTCAAGAGAACTAAATTTGAAGTCTGTACAAAAGCTTCTCTATAACGCGTGCCATAATATACAATCTTCTACTTGTCAGATCTTAACATCTACCTCTCTGAATTTTCATGGATTTCTGTTTCACAAGGTTTAACTATTTTATATACACTGGCTATAGCATACAATAAAACAGCATACAAATTTCTGGCCTTGTTACTGTTAATGAAATGCACTGTATATTAATCTTTTCAATACCAGCTCTTAACTTATAGAACAAATGGAAATTTTTGTTCAAAGAGTGGGAGACTTCCAGTTTCTTTCAGTTAGTTACAGGAATTACTTTAAATATTCCAAATATGGGTGGAGAGGTGCCCAGTGGGTAAGAGTACTTGCTATGTGATTATAATCTGAATTCAGATCCCTGCCACCTATACAAAAAGCTGATCATGGCTATGAATGCTTAGAACCCTAGCACGTGGAGGAGAGGGTTTGTTGGCCACCAACATGGGTTAAAATGGTGAGCTCTAGGTTTAATGAAAGACTCTGTTTAATAAATGAGGCAGAAAGGGATGACAGGCACTTGACACTGTCCTCTGGGCTCACACAGACAACAAAAGATTCCAAACAAAACAAAATGCTTTGTAGTGTATTTAGCAGTTATACCAGGAAGGTAGTTGCTTCACTTTGGAAATAAGAGTCCTCTTAGAAGAATCAAGAACTTGACTGGATGATGGTGTAACATGCCTTTAGTCTTAGCACTTGGGAGACAGAGGCAGGCAGATCTCTGTGAGTTTGAGGCCGCCTGGTCTACAAAAGGAGTTCCAGGACAGCCAGAGCTACACAGAGAAACTGTATGTGGTATGGAGGAACAGGGAAATGGGGCAGGACTTGAGAACTCAAGACAATACCTGAATGAAGTAGGACAGTAGATGGTAATTAGGTAAAATTGAGCAAGAAAACAGGAATTGAAAGGTTAACTCCAGTGACTTGTAACTTTGTGCCAAGTCCTGGTAATCTGGCCTCTGAGACTGGTGTATTAAATCAGGGCTACACTTTTCCTAGCCTACAAGTTCTTTGGGAGTGCAAATTAGAAAGTTTGAATCTTCATTCCAACAAAATTCACAATTAACGCAAAATGATAGCAAGGTTTAGGAGTTTTAGACCCTCACCAAAATTATATTTATTTATATTTACAACAACAAAGTAGAAATTCATGGCACTTGGTCATTTGTTCAAATATAAGATTTACAAAATCAAAATCATTTAGAAAAGTGTGCTTTGTTAAATAATTTACCATGTTTTTCAAGACAGGCCTGTCCAGCAAAATTCAATACTACTCCCTCAGTACTTTATAAATGGAATTTTCTTCTACTTGTATCCATTTCCCGTGGCTGAAAATTAAAGGGGAGAAGACAATGAAGAAGAACATGGGTGAGATAGTAAAGGCTGGCTTTCATAGATCTTTATGAGTAACAGTGCTGACACTATGGGTATGTCTGAGCCCCTGACAGTCAGTCTTCAGGGCTGATTTAACTGCTGGGAATTTCTGTTCTAAGCCTGTGTGTAGTGCAGAAATAGCACTGCTGCTAACTAGGCAGAAAAGGACGATTTACAGACATTCTCATCTGTCTTAAGATGCTTTCCAAATGTCCAACAGCGCTGGTTCTCAAACAGTGCAGCAGAGTCACCAGGCTTCAGACACTGCTGGGCAGCTGGCCTGAGACTTGCCCATTCCTACATCGGTGTTGGTCTCATTTAAAGATCGCTGTGCTTTGGGCCACTTCAAGCAAATCCAGGTTAATAGCAGCCCAAGAGACCACATCAGACTGCTGCTTTCTAGTTCATGGGAGAAGATTCTCTCACACACCTTAACATGTAAATAATATAGTTAAAATGGGCTTTGGAGCAATCACCACATACCTTATGGACCCATTCATATTCTCCATATTTAGAATCAAAGGTACCCTTCTGAAGAGATCGTAATTTTAAGGTAAAACGTGGTCCAAGTTCCTGAATTCCCACTTTCTTTTCACTCTTGAATATATATCTTCAGAAACAAAAGTTAAACAACAATTAGGTTCATTCAAACTAATTTTCTATGGCAAAGCTAAAGGACTTATTATATCAGAACACAGGTTTATGTTGACAAAAAAGTCCAAGTTAACATCTGCCCTTACCTGTGAAACCTGAAGAAGATGTAATCCCACTGATTGTGGAATGTGGCAACCTGCCTTCCAATAAATTGAGGATTATGAGGAAAGAGAGATGCAAACATGCGTCCAATGGAATGACCAAGCCATGTTGTGAAGTTATTCAGAATTATCTCGGGAACATGTTCTGTGGGATCTTTGCCTCGTCTCTGGAAAAATTAAAAAATATAATACCCAGTAAAGAGAATTAGAAAATGCATAATTATAATTTTGGGTCCATAATTTAGACAACATTAAAAATAATTTGCTTTTACACAGGGTCTCACTCTAGCTCGGACTGGTCTGGCACTTCTTAGCTCAGCTTTACCCTAAAACTGCTCCTTCTGCCTCAGGCACCATGTTCTAGGATTACTGCAGGAGCCACCAATCCTGACTTTAAAAAAATTTTTAAATGACAAAAATGTAAGAGATGGCCTATCAAACCCACAAAGATATATTTAATATGTATTGAACACATCCTAAAGTAAACCCTACTATAAAAACATTCATGGCAACGTGGACTACTGCTATTATCAAAATTGTCTATGGTCTTGCAACATATCTCGGTAGACAACTTGCTGTCATCAGAAGATCAAATAATTAAAATCAATTAGATCCTTAAGCATCTACTGATAACCTGAGATCAGTATTGATCAAAGAGTACATAAGACTCACCTTAATTTCTTTACGAAGACGAACACTACTCATTTTAAAGTGAGCAGTTGGGCCATTTGGCAAGTGACTCAAAATAAGGCCATCTGTTCACAAAGGTTAAGAAGCATACCAAATTATAGCTTATGCCCTAAATTGCATAAATAAGTTGTCTTCTGTATGCTTGAGGGCACCTAGAAATTAGTGGATGGATGTATTTGTTCTTCTGGGTTAGCTGAACTTTTCCTACCAAACCAAAGTCCAACCACATCAAATCTTATAAGAAAATATGTATTAATCTACAATAATCTTAGTTTTTTTGTTTTTACAATTAAATAGCATCATTCACAATAGGGTAGCCTGGGCTTTCAAAGTGAAAGTACACAACACCAAAAGTCTATCCAATGACCACTACTCAAGAAGGAAAAAAGATGGGATTCAATGCTATGTAAGTTCACCTCCACTTATGTGTCCTGTTTGTAAGATTAGGACATAAGAGGATCATAGGATCGCAAATTCCTGTTACAGCAAAGTCAAAGCTGCTATTTAAGAAGAGAGAAGCTCTTCGGATTAATGAGAACTTAAATCAACCTTTATAACCCATTAGTCTAGCATGAACGGAATGATGCTAGACACTATAAACTACAGATTAAATATAAGAGACCTGCCTACCAGCAAGTAGAGCAGCCAAAAGCACCGGAGTCTCAGCTACAGGAGACAGAGCAGCACTCAAGGGTTTGTGGCACCAGAGAGTAAGTTATGGCTGGTGCCCAGTGACCGCCCAAGTAGGCAAAACTGACAGCGGTGGCTGACCACGGCTTTCAGTTAACAGCAGCTTTTAGTTTAAGCAGGTGGACAGGACACAAACTGGGATCGACGACGGCCCAGGCCCGCAGTCCCGCTGCCCAGAGACTTAAGCAAGAGGATGAAATTTCAAGACTGTGCTTGGGCAGCTCTGACCAAATTTCAAAATTAAAAAGTACGTAAAGGGATGAGGCCAGCTTACTGAAGCCTGGATTTGAACCCTTTGGCTGCTGTCTTTACTGAGCAGTGGTTCTCAACCTTCCAAATGCTGCAATCCTTTAAAACGGGTGACACTGTGATGACCTCCAACCATAAAAGTATTTCGTTGCTACTTCATAACTGTAATTTGGCTACTGTTATGAATCATAATGTAAATATGAGTTTCCTGATGGTCTTAGGTGACCCCTGTGAAAGGGTTGTTCAACCCCCTCAAAGGGGTCGTGACCCACAGGTTGAAAACTGATGGACTAAAAGCAGCCAGGAGAAGCTATATTACACCCAATTTTTAAAAAAAGCATCAACTGGGTTGGAGAGATGACTCAGTGGTTAAGAGCATTGGCTCTGTTCGTCCAGAGGTCCTGAGTTGAGTTCCCAGCAACCACATGGTGGCTCAAAACCATCTGTAATGAGATTTGGTGCCCTCTTCTGGCATGCAGATATACATGTATACATAATAAATAAGTCTTTAAAAAAAAGAGTAGAAACATATGTACAGTATGTTCTAACAAAAATAACCTTAAATTTGTATCAATATACAAAAATCCATACCAATATAAAATATTTAAGACTAGTAGATCTTTTTTTGTTTGTTTAAAAGTAGATTCAGTAATCTACCCTTTTATCGTACCATTTCTATATCCCTCTTTTTTCTTTTCTAAATGAGATCCCTGAATCTAATTACTTTTGGTAGCTTTTTATTATTATTATTATTACTATTATTATTATTATTATTTTAGATTTATTTATTATGTATACAGTGGTCTGTCTGCAGGCCAGAAGAGGGCACCAGATCTCATTACAGATGATTGTGAGCCACCATGTGGTTGCTGGGAATTTAACTCAGAACCTCAGGAAGAGCAGCCAGTGCTCTTAACCTCTGAGCCATCTCTCCAGCCCTTGATAGCCTTTTTTGACCATTATCAGTAACAAATTGTAACCAAGCCCCCTAAACAGTGATAAATATCCATAACCCATTGAATGAACAAAAACCATCCATAGCACCTTTGGGAATGTGGGTGTCACATTTTCTAGATTTTTTTCTTTTCTTTTTTATTTATTTAACTTTATTTTATGTGAATTGGTGTGAAGATGTCAGATCCTCTGGAACTGGAATTACAGATAGTTGTGAGCTGCCATGTGGGTGCTAGGAATTGAACCTAGGTCCTCTGGAAGAGCAGCCCATGTTCTTAACCACTGAGCCATCTCTCCAGCCCTCCAGATGTTTTCTGTTGTCTGGGGTGTGATGGCATTCTAGGAGACCCTGAGAAAATTGAGATAATGGTCAAGTCCTAAGAGAGCTAGGTGCATCATTTGTTGCCAGTCTCTGAGTAATGGGAAAGTGCAGAGCTTATCTGAAGTTCTGGTTGGTATAGTGCATGGGGCTGGACCATCTCAGCTATCCACCTTTAAATTGCCCTAAGCAATTTTTAGTTCAAAGCTGATCTTTGGGTAGTGTTTGTCAGCTTGGTGGCATTATCAAATCCAGGTGGAATCATTCTTGTTGTGCCCCAAAATCCTTTGGAGACTTTAAAGGTTGCTGTTTGGGATGGGCATGGTTCACTGTAGAAAATTTAAACATTTTAAATATCACATGCAGCAGATCTCAGAGAGGATCACAATTTGTTAAGTATATCCAGAGTACAAAAATTAATTTCTAGTTATCTGATAGAGACTCAAACCCAAAATCATGTACAAGAAGCTAGATTAAGAATTTAGAATTAGTGCTTTTAGAATTAGTACTTTATATGACCATTAATAACATAGCAGAAAGTTTAAATACATATATATGTGTGTGTGTGTGTGTGTGTGTGTTAATCTTATAAATTTTGAGATAATATTTATACTTTGAAAAAATTTTAAAGACTCAAAAAAAACCAAAGAATTATGAGGTTAGTGGCAATAGAATAGTCCCTTAATTTTGTGTTTCTGCCCCATATCAGGTGGCTCTTTGGACACGAGACAGAGATTTTGGATTTTTCTTTAACAAGCATGTTTGGGTTTAGAGAAGGAGAGAGCCATGTACCAACTCCAAAGCCAGCTTTAATTTTTTATGGAACTAGAACTACAAAAAGACCATTTACCTTATATGTCTGAGGAGAACAGTAGAAACGTATATTTGGGAAGATTTATGAAATTTTATCCTATTGGAAATGTTATATACCAATAGGCCAATTTATTCCTTTGGGGGGGGACTTTTTTCTGTATGATTTGTCCTTTTTTAGATGTCTCATTTTTTCACTGGTCTTTAGATTTCTTAGCTGGATGCCTTCATTTTTCTGGAGAGACAAGAACAAAACCCTGTCCTAACCGTAACTTTGGGGAATTTCCTTTTTGGTAGGTTGTATCTGATCAACTGAAAGGCATTTATTAGTTGTATTTGTTAGTTTAGACTGGATGGTTACCCTGTTTGATAAACTAACATCTCTTCTAGTCAAGAGGTCTCTCTTTTTTGAATTTAATCTCTATCAATGTTGATGGTATCCATAGATTTTCTTCTCCTGTGGAAATAAAAGCAAAACCTTTTCCCCAGTGTAACTTATATCATGGATTCCATTCTAAAGTCAACATATCTTTAAAGTATATAGGCTGATTTAACTCAGAAGTTTTTTTATTATCCAATGTATTTTTGCAGCTAGTGTTCCTTTTTCATTAGCATTTAAAACATTTAAAGTTAAGAAAGCATTGTGCAATCTCTGGGGGTCTTTATAACCCATTTTTGTTTATTAAGCATGTCTTTTTGAGTGTGATTAGATCTTTCTACAACTGTTTGTCCTATAGGAGTGTGGTATACCTATAATATGCTTTATGTTATAATATGCAAAACATTGTTTTATTTTACAAGAGACATATGCTGAAACATTGTCAGTGTTTATTTGTACAGGTATCTCCAAGAAGGTCATAACGTCTAATAAATGTATAATTATAGAATCAGCCTTTTCAGAACTCAAAGCAGTTGTCCATTGAAATTCTGAATATGTATCTATGGCATGGTGTGCATATTTTAATTTCCAAATTGTGTAAAATTAAGCATAACCATTTGTCAAATTTTTTGAGTACACTTTGTGTTGCTTCCTTTAGGTAGTGGAATTTGGTTATAAAAGAACAAGTAGGATATTTTCTTATCATTTCCTTGGTTTGGTGCCAAGTAATAGAAAAATCTTTTTTAAAGCCTTGTTATTAACATGGTATTTTTATGAAGTTTTGAGGCTTTACCATATTTTTTTAGCAATGGCTGATAAATTTTATCATTACCTTTTATTAGAGAGTCTGGTAGACTAATATGGGATCTGATATGTGCTATATACAAAGGATGATTTTCATTTTTTATTATTTTTTTCTAATTGAATAAATAATAAAGTGAGTTGTGAATCATCTGGAATAAGTTCAGCAGTTTTAATTTGGAAAACAACTCTTTCTGCATATTGAGAGTCAGTAACTAAATTAAGAGGTTCTGGAAAATCTAATAATACCATGAGAATAGTATATAATTCTGACTTTTGAGCAGAATCATAAGGGTTTTGAGCTATTTTATTTAATGTTTTTGAATTATAACCTTCCTTTTCTGATTTGTTTGTATCAGTATAGAGTGTAGGGGCTCCAGAAATTGGTGTTCCCTGTTCAAAGTAAGAAAGGATCCAATTAGTTTTTCTTATAAACTGAAATCTCTTGCTTTGGGGATATTTGTTGTTATTTTTTCCCAAAAAATTATTGCAAGCTCTTTGACAATTTTCATTTTCTGTCCATAATGAGAAAATTTTGACAGTAGGAAAAGGTATCACAATTTCTGTTAGATGTATTCCTGTTAATTGATGAGGTCCTACTTTTCTTTTAGAATCAGTTTAAAAACCATTTTTACATAGGTCTTTAATTTATTTTACTGTTTCTGTAGTATAACTATCCATGCTAAGATATTATTTTTTTTCTGCATTAGAATTCCTGTAGGAGAATGCATAGAAGGTATAATAGCCAGAATACAATCAAGCTGCAGATCCAAATGGTTCATATGTGCATTCTGTAATTTTTTTTTTTTTACCAAAGTCAGTTCTCTCACTGTCTCAGCTGATAATTTCTTTGGACTGTTTAAGTTCTTATCACCTTGTAAGATTTGAAATAAATTACTTGGTTTTTGAGTTGTCAATCCAATTGTGGACCTTAACCAACTAATATCTCCTAGCAATTTTCGAAAATCATTAAGAATTCATAATTGATCTCTCTTGACTTGGATTTTCTGTGGTTGAATTATTTGTAAACCTATCTTATATCCTAGGTAATTCATAGAGTCACTTCTTTGTATTTTTAGGAACAATTTGTAATCCCCAACAATGCAAATTTTTCTTTATTTCTTCAAACATTTTTTCTAAAGTAGCTATATCTGAATCAGCTAGTAAGATATTTTCTATGTAATGGTAAATTTGATA